TGTTCTGTTCTGTTCTGTTCTGTTCTGTTCTGTTCTGTTCTGTTCTGTTCTGTTGGTTTAACGCCGCAAACCCTGATTTTTTCTTTTATTTATATACTACATGACTATTTTTGATCAGTCTTCGTAACGCCAAACTCATATGCAGTGAGAACTTGTTTTATCTGACTTTTGTTAGTACGGAGCTAGCTTTTTCCCCCGATACAAATAACTTTTCCCGTTCCTTTGTCAAGTGCATTGAGAACTGAAACAAGGAAGTATCGAGCTATGTGTATACTATTTCGCTGATTGGCTGCTTGTACAGACCTTATCCTTTTTTTCTTTGAACAAAATTAACCATGTTTATCAGCCATGAGCCGCGCCAATGCTGTGCTTGCTTTTGTGAATCGATAAGAAACATGAAGTTTAATTCCAAATTACCATTTCATCCAACAATATTGAATTGAAAATTTGTTAATAACCGACATCCTGAGCTCAGTGGTTCAGGTTATTTATGATCATTCTTTTTAACTCCAAACTCATAGACAGTGAGATCTCGTTTTATCTTGTGTTAGTTCCTTACAAATAACGTATTCCGTCCCTTCCAGTCTTCTTTAACTCCAAACTGATAGACAGTGAGATATCGTTTTATCTTGTGTTAGTTCTTTACAAATAACGTCTTCCGTTCCTTCCGTCCCTTCCAGTCTTCTTTAACTCCAAACTGATAGACAGTGAGATCTCGTTTTATCTTGTGTTAGTTCCTTACAAATAACGTCTTCCGTTCCTTTCGTCCCTTCCAATCTTCTTTCATCTACGGTAGTCTGTGAACAAAAAAGAAAATCGTAAAATTTGAAGCTGGCGCACTTATCAGTAAGCGCAAACTACAAAATAGAACTGCAGAATAGCGGGTATATGAATAGAAAGCCCAAACTTTAACAGACACAGCCATAACCTTTGGGTGACATCGTCAAACAACTCTAGATTCGTCGCGCGCGCACGTTACCCTTCATTCATTGAAAAATCAAATAAACCCGATGTCATGTCTACGTATGTCGGTCTCAGCAGCTCTGCGATACCAACCACGTATCAAACTAGATACCAACTAAGTGTCTGTCTAATTTGTTTTATTGGCAAACACACTACTGGAATCATTCCTAAAGGTGTTCAGAATTTGTAATCAATTTGAGTATAGTTTTGATACAAAAATGTACTCGAACGAGTTTTTTCCCGCGAGACCTCATTCGAATATGAACATAGAAACTAGCCTGAGAAAACAGACCTTTCGTAAATGTTGTATCATTATAAAATGTTGTATCATTATGCCGCTTCAGCAGTACAACGAATGGATCCATGGGGTGGGATGTGTGTGTGGTGCGAGAGGAGGGGGGGG